ATTTTATCTACGGAGAAAGTAATATCCGTATCCTTCTGCTCTACAGGCGAGTCTTCCTGCGGTTGCACGGGGTTAAGAACTTCCACAAAGTACTCCGTCCATCGCTGAAGAATATCATCATCCTTGGTAAGAGGGTGTACAGTCCTGTCCTTCAAGACTGAGACTTTTTCAAGAATCTGACGCAGGGCCAGTATATAGTCAGAGGTGCTTCGACCAAGTCGGAAGCCAAACTGCTGTTCTTGTATCTCGGAGTCAGTTATTCCGCGGCACCACCTTTCAAGCACCTTTGTGTAGACTTTACCCGAGGGGCTCATTAAAGTAATATCCCGATAATTGGAGCACTCCTTATGGCTTCCTTTCATGAACAGGGTTGCAACAGCCGCGCTGTTCAGTCCGCTGGTGACTTCCCCGTAGTCATTGCAATTTGAGAGATACGTGTAAACCAGCACGTGCCTTATTCGCCTAATGCTTTCAGGATTTCCGGACGGATTTCATCAATTCAAGCAGCCTTTCCATTTTATCGCTTACCACATCTTATGTAATTTCATCTACAGATAAAGTAATATCCGTTTCCTGCTGCTCTACAAAGAGTCTTCCTGCAGCTGCTCGTGGCAAAGTAGTTCCACAAAGTACAGTCTCCATCGCCGAAGAATGTCATCATCCTCGGAAGGAAGGTGTCTAGGCCTGTTCTTCAAGACCCCTGGACTCTTCTGCATTTCACCTCGGAGACGACGGATGGTGTGCCAGAATACTTTGTTTGCCGTGTGGAATTTCGACCCTAACGCCTCACTGAATTTCTGTATGAAATCTGCATGCCCCTTCGCCACTGCTTCTGCTGCCGCCTTGCGCGCCTCGACTTATCGCACGCGAGTAGAATGCTCTTTGTTTCCAAGCCATTTCTTGAACGCTTCGTTCTTCTCTTTAACTGCCAGCTGTACCTCTCGTGCCCACCACGAAGATCTTTTCTGACCTCTAGGCGGCAGGCCAACTAGCTTACATCCGCAGCAATCGGCAGCATCCTCGAGTATTCCGCTCTTAAAGAGCTGCCATTCGGTTTTTGTATCATTGGTCATCACCGGGATCTGTTCAAACAGTCGTGCAGCGTTGTTTGCAAATTTCGCTCTCCTGTCCACAGAAGATAATGTTTCCCATTTGATTTTCTGGTTGCTTCTGCCAACACATGTTCGTACGGTATTCCATTTCTTACAGCGCAGCACATCAACAACAAGGTGATGGACGGTTGATAGCTCTGTGCCTTTTTTAACGCGAACGTCAAACACTCAGCGTCTTAAGTCAGACGATACAATAATCAAATCGATCATCGACTTCTATGCACAATCTTCCGTGTACCACGTATACTGATGCACTCTTCGACGCTCGAAATGCCGTTATTGTTCAGGTGGCTAGAGCTCTTTATTCCAATCACGCTGTTCCACTTTTCAGCGTCTACTTTGACATGCACATTAAAATCGCCCATAAGTATGAGGGACTATGTATTCGGCACTTCGGACAGAACACACTGCACTTCCTCACGGAATGCCTCATATTCT